GGATGGGGGCGTCGCGATAGGAGTGTATATAATGTTGTGAGTTTGAATATTTTGGTGTGGTCTCTGGGTTTAGAACTTCCTGTTGAAGTCTCTCACCAGGATCCACCGCGCTTTGCAAACCGCTTTTCTATTTTCTGCAGAATAAACTCTTTTTCTTACCAATCCAATTTTGTTGGTATTTTAATCACGTTTCCAACAGAAGGGACCTTGGAGGTCATCTAGTTCAACCCCCTGCTCAGGCAGGAAACCTTATACCATTTCAGACAAATGGCTGTCCAATCTCTTCTTAAAAACTTCCGGTGTTGGAGCATTCACAGCTTCTGGAGTCAGGTTGTTCCACTAATTAATTGTTCTGTCAGAAAATTTCTCCTTAGTTCTAGGTTGCTTCTCTCTTTGGTTAGTTTCTATCCATTGCTTCTTGTCCTGCCTTCAGGTGCTTTGGAGAATAGCTTGACTCCCTCTTCTATGTGGCAGCCCCTGAGATATTGGAACACTGCTATCATGTCCCCCTTCATCCTTCTCTTCATTAAACTAGACATTCCCAATTCCAGCAACCGTTCCTTATATATTTTAGCCTCCAGTCCCCTAATCATCTTTGTTGCTCTTCTCTGTACTCTTTCTAGTCTCAACATCTTTTTTTCATCGTGGTGACCAAAACTGGATGCAGTATTCCAAGTGTGGCCTTACCAAGGCATTGTAAATTTGATGAGTTCGCACTCTATCCCCTTGTCCAAATCGTTGATGAAGATGTTGAAGAGCATTGGGCCTAGAACAAAGCCCTGCGGCACCCCACTACACACTTCCTTCCATGTAGATGCGGTTCCATTGAGGACCACACGCTGAGTACGGCCGGTCAGCCAGCTACGAATCCATCTGGTGGTGATGCTGTCTAACCCACATTTTTCTATCTTATCAAGTAGTAGGCTGTGGTCTACTTTATCAAATGCCTTATTGAAGTCCAAGTAAATTATATAATTATATAATGCAACTCCACCTCCTGTTTTGTTAGGTCTGTTTCTTTTGAATAGTTTGTATCCTTCCATCAGTACATTCCAGTCATGAGTTTCATCCCAAGTTTCCGTAATGGCAACTATATCATATCTGCCTTCTTGTATTAATTCAAGTTCATCCTGCTTGTTCCCTAAACTTTGAGTGTTAGTGTGCACCGATGTGAATCCTTTATGGGTTTTGGGTATATTTCTTACATCTTCTACTTTGTAACTGGGATTTCATCCTTTCCATCACTCTCTACTTCATTATGTTTTTCTTTACTTCTTCTTTACTCCCTTTCTCCTTATGTGATTGTTTTCTAGTGGTTTTTGTTTGGAATTAGGTTCTAAAGCAGGGGTGTCAAACTGCCGGCCCGCGGGCCGGTTTCATCATACCAGAGCCGCACCCACCTCATTGCCAGCAATGGCGAAAAAGCTCCGATACGTTGCGTGATGTCATGTGACGTCGCGAGTTTGACATGTCTGTTCTAAAGGTTGTGAAGATTGCCACCCCCCTCAATTTCACTTTAAGGCCATTTTGATAAGATGAGCCAATCATTTTCCAAATATATTCATTCCTGTTCTTGTGAGGTGCAGTCCATCCCTTGCCAATAGCCCTTCATCTAGGTCAAGGGTAGGCAACCTTAGCTCTTTTATGGCTCGTGGACTTCAACTCCCAGAATTCCTGAGCCAGTCCACGAGTCATAAAAGAGCCAAGGTTGCCTACCCCTGATCTAGGTAAAACAGACCATGGTCTAGGAAGCCTGATCTGAAGACTATAGTTTCTGCTCCCCTAAGAACTGAATCTCCTATCACCAATATTTTCTTTTTTTTTTTTCCTAGGGAAGTCTGGAATACTTTTTTTCCTGTCGCAGGAATGCTGGGTTGAAGAACAATCGTATCAAGCAGTTTTCCAGATGGATTGCCCTGGGAAGAATAGCAGCGCCAAACCTGTATTGCTGGCATTAGCAAAAACCGTGTTTGATACTGAGCAGCGCCAAACCCTTTCTTTATGCAAGGGGAACCCGGAAGTTTGTACGTTAAAGCTATCATGCGTCTACTCTACATTTTCTGTTCTCTCTACTATGGCCGACGATAATATCCGTTTCCGGCCTCAACGCCGGAAGAGCTGGTCTCCGTTGGAAACGCGGCCTGGGGGAGTTATCCAACCAGGTCGGAGGTGACAGCCGCGCGGTTTTTCTGCGTAAGTGGCGATGTTTTGAGCCGGGATTGGCACTCGTGCTGGAAGAAGGAAAGGGTCTCTCTCTCTCTCTCTCTCTCTCTCTCTCTCTCTCTCTGGGTAAAGAAGAAACAGTAATTGCTGGCCCATAAGGATGTGGAGAGAAGGTGGAAGGGCGCAGAGCGACAGAAAGCTTTACACAATTCACCGAGAAATTGTTATTTTTTAGGACCAACCAATATTCTGAAAACGGTTCTCCAAAAATTGTATCACAGGGATTGGTACCTAAGAGGCCAATCTTACTATTTTGTATTTGTTTAGGACCATAAGTGGGTGGAGCCTTACATTTGCTTTTATGTCACTGAAGTTTTAAAAAAATGATCTAAGCAGCTTACTAAAGCAGTATACCAGGGGTGCGAGATGATATTCCAGAGGGTGCGAAAACTTGGGTTTTCAAAATTATAGTATATATGCATAATTCATTGCCATTATTTCGAGCTTTTGTAAGGGTTGAGAGAATATATCAGAAGCGTTTTAGGGGTGCTGGATATAGAAAAGGTTGGGAGCTGCTGCAGTATACAATAAACTACCTAGCACATCTCATTGCTAATATGCAGCATTACTATAATACCACAATCATTACAACATTGTTAATAGCAGTCACATATAATCTAAATGTCTATTTTAGATCTGACAATACAGAGTATCACCTTCAGAGTAGCAGGAAACTGCCTTCAGTTTATAATGATCACAGAATTCTACTGGGCCTCAGCAGGTTCCATCTTTGGTGATGCATCTTTTCTTTGCTCTACCTGTTGCAGATGATGAATCTTAACATAATTATCCAGTAACAATAAACTGTACAAAACTTTCTGCTAAGATTTACATCTTTAATCTTTACAAATATTGGGACTAGATAGAATTTTTTTAATGAATTTCCCCCACTTTCTCCCCCAAATCCTTCTTAATCATTTGTTTCTTTTTGCTGCAGGCAAAGATGGGTCGTAGGAAGTCAAAGCGGAAGCCTCCACCCAAAAAAAAGATGACAGGAACACTTGAGACCCAATTTACATGTCCTTTTTGTAACCACGAGAAATCCTGTGATGTTAAAATGTAAGCTGTTTATATAAGTGATGTGAGAACATAGCTTCCCTGTTTGATGGCAAACAGAATTGGATATGATACAGTTGTTGGGGCTCTAGGTCTCCAGAAAAAAAGATTTTGGAAACAAAAACATATTTTTCTAGATAGGGCAGTTGTGAAATTGAGAAAGTTTGGGATGTTAATAGTAATCTAATTAGCATTAATAGTATTTTTATTTGGTATGCTTATATCTAACACATAAGACCTACTTGCATTGTATTCTGCAATCAGAATTCTAGTGGACTGATTTAGGCTAATAATACTATTTAATTGCAGTTATGATTCTGTGTTCCAGGGAAAGAGCTCGGAATACTGGAGTGATATCCTGTACTGTATGTCTGGAAGAATTTCAGACCCCTATCACTTGTATCCTTTACTCATTTATTTCTTTCAAGTATCAAATAATTGCTCTGCTCTGTCCTAGCTGTTCTCTACAATTAAGAAAAATATTTGGATTTTAGCCTCAATTTAATCAAACATTCAAGATGAGGATTGTGTATTAAATACAAGTATATGTTAAATCCACTTGCATCAAGACATGTAATTGGCATAAATGGTAACATTTACAATAAACTCTTGTTTGAGCCATTACAGCCTTAAATTAATTGATATTAGTCCATTAAATGATGGTGGAATGGATGAACAAAGAAGTTCTCTGGGATATCTAAATACATTGAGGCACATTAAACTGAGGTTTTATTGTATTTGGTAACATCTGATTTTGTTTTGCTGTGTAAATCTGAACTTGTTTTTGCAGTTCCAGTTTTTATTTTAGGATAAATACTTTAACCGATTCTTGAAATTTGCACGTTCTGTCTTACCCAATATTAAGACACTGTAAATGAACCTTGATTAAGATCCTATTAAGCACAATTGTATATTTTCCTTTGCTCCATGGTGTCTGTACAGTCATAATAGAAATATTGGCTTTGCATATTCACTCTGAATTCAGATATTTTTTCTGGTGTAGAAGATACATTAATATATTATTATCCTTGACCTTTGATCTTAAAGATCTTTCGGAACCAGTGGATGTTTACAGTGATTGGATAGATGCTTGTGAGGCAGCCAATCAATAACAACTTAAAGGAACTTGTTGGAAGTTAATTAATGTTTCTTTATTCAGGGGTGGGGATATCTGTTTCACAATGCATTGGAGATACAGCTGGAGTGACTATGAAATGCTGGTTTGTGCTCTTTTCTTCTATTCTGTAATCTACCTTTTTATATGAATATTGTGGAGTTTAGAAACTAATGACTATCAAAAAAGACCTGCAAGTGTGGGAAAGGTCAGTTTTTATTCAGGTTGATGCTCGGGAAATTTTTCTCTCAAGATTGAAATCGGAGGTTAAGTGTATCAAATGCTGCTGTTCCATTTTTATTAATTTATTTTGGGCTTATAGAGAAGGGCTTCCATATGAACTTCTCTTCCATTCTGTGATGGTTCTTGGAATATTATATTCCATGTTAAATTGCAAAGTGTAGTCAGCAAGAATATACGAAATATAAGAAAAAATAGCCCTATCTTGGTCCCATGATACAAGCTTCATATTTATCTGTTGGAACAATAATCATGAAATCAACCTTTTTATTAATAACATGTTTCCAGTTAGAATGGCAGTGTGTTGCCTCTGTTTCAGAAAACATTGTGTGCAGGACTCTTCTGTGACACTGGGCATGGGATTTTGAAAACTGTGTTATGTAATAAAGTATAATTCAAAGAAGCAAACCTTCATGACTCACTGAGAAATGGTGCCGTCGTCTTAAAAACATTTTGGTGCAATATACATAGGGCAATTTTACCAGTATATTATAATTCCTTTAGTAAAGACATTTGACCATTTTACTTTTAGCATAATACTATGTATTATTTCTCTCAATTGCTTTTTTCCCTAATACATGAATCCCAGTAACAAACCTTTTTATGACTTTAGAATGAATATGTCCATGCATATAGGAGGGTAGGTAGTGGCTTGAGTGTGAATCTGGTATACAGTGCATTCAGAATGTATTCAGACCCGCTTCACTTTTGTCAGTTTTGTTATGTTGCAGCCTGATTTTACAATTGTTGAAATTCATTTTTTTCCTCATTAATCTATACTCAGTACCCCATAATGACAAAGTAAAAACAGAATTGTAAAAATGTATGTAAATTTATTAAAAATAAAAAACTGAAATTTATCACATTGGCATAAGTATTCAGACCACTCAGTACTTTGTTGAAGCACCTTTGGCAGCAATTACAGCCTTGAATTTTTTGAGGTATGATGCAACAAACTGGATTGGGGGATTTTCTGCCATTCTTCCTTGCAAATCCTCTCAAGCTTAGCCAGGTTGAATGGTGACTGTCACTGGACCGCTATTTTCAAGTCCATCCAGAGATGTTCAATAGGGTTCAGGTCAGGGCTCTGTCTGGGCCACTCTAGGACATTCACAGGGTTGTTCCTAAGCCACTCCTGTGTTGTCTTGGCTGTGTGCTTAGGATCATTGTCATGTTGGAAAGTGAACCTTCGGCCCAGTCTGAGGTCCTGAGCACTGTGGAGGATATCCTTGTACTTTGCTCCATTCAGCTTTCCCCCAACCCTGACCCAGTCCCTGCTGCTGAAAAACACCCCCACAGCATGATGCTGCCACCACCATGCTTCATTGTTGGGATGATATTGGGCAGGTGATGAGTAGTGCCTGGTTCCCTCCAGACAACATTTAGAATTGAGGCAAAACAACTCAATCTTGGCTTCATCAGACCAGATAATCTTATTCCTCACACTCTTGAGAGTCCTTTGGGTGCTTTTTTGCAAAGCCCAAGCGGGCTGAGTTTCTTTTGAACAAATTATATCCTTCCATTACTATAGCCCAGACATGTCAAACTCGTGATGTCATGTGATGTTGCGCAACGTATTGGAGTTTTCCCCCCATTGCCGGCAATGGGGTGGGCGCGGTTTCGTCGTGACACATCTAGCCCGCGGGCCGGCAGTTTGACACCCCTGCTATAGCCCAATCATGAATTCCATCCCTTGATTTCCATGACTTGTAATGTAATGAGTTTATCTTGCTTTCTGATTGTCAAATTGCCTCCCAATCCCATCATTTAAATAATATGTATGATTTTAATTTTTTATATTTCATTTTTCAATTTTTCATAGCTGCCCTGAGTAAGTAGAAAGGCAATAAGTCAATTAAATAACCAACTAAATAATAGATGTATGATATAGCATGGTTGCACAGCAAAATCTCTTTTGTTGGTAGGGGGTCATTCAGATTTGAAGAAAGCATTTCCTGGGAGGATAGGCAAGTCCCATTTTGGGGGAGGAAAGTGCTCATGATAAGGGGGAATTGCCCCATAGCACAAAAGCAGATCTGGAACAGATAGAAGATATATGCAGCTGACATCCTTATTAACTTGCTTTTCCAAATCAGAAAACTGGCAAGTCTAAACTCTTTTTTCTACTTCAAGGAAGTTAGTAGGAAACCACTTCCATATTGTTTTCAGGAAAAATACACAGTAGTCATGAAGATTCCAGCTAACAGAACAACTAAGTAATCTAAGAATCTGGGATCATAGAATGGTGTGTTTGTGGCAAATCAGCCGGCGCCGCGGCATAGTCAGCTGACTCCATCGCTGACTATAGGGGGCGAAATTCTGGCCCCCTCGGAGAGGGTGCGCAATCTGGGGGTCCTCCTGGATTCGCGGCTGACGCTGGAAGACCAGTTGTCGGCCGTGACCAGGGGGGCGTTTTATCGGGTACGCCTGATCCACCAGTTGC